CCCCAAAACCCCAAAACCCCAAAACCCCAAAACCCCAAAACCCCAAAACCCCATCATGCAAGTTTCATTGAATATTTAAGAACGCATCAAAACATTAATAATAAATATGAGCAGTAGTTCACTTAGAGAAAGAGGTCTTTCCTCTCGTAACTCAGAGGAGGAAGACAAGAACTCCTTATCCGTATTGAAGGAAAGTGAGGATTCCAAGATCCACAGTAAGTTTCAATTTCTCAGATCCGTTGGGTGTTCCAATTAACTTCGAGGAATCTAGCCAAAATTTATATGTTCCAGAGCTAGGCTCCTGTACCCGTTTGAACGAATGGCTTATCCCTCTCCTGAGGACTCAAAAAACATGTATAATCTCTTGAAATAGACAGCCCGTCAGGATCAATGATCAGCGCAAAAGACTACGACGAAAGATCTTCTTTGGCTCACCACAAAGACCAAGTTGATTATCAAGATAACTTAGGTGTAAAAGATCGTAACGAAAATATGCATAAATCCCCTGCTAGCAATAAATCCAAACTCACAAAGAACTTCTCGCATGCCGATGACGAAGAGAGGTCCGATGAGAAATAAGCGCGTTATTTTCTTGAATAATGACGAACGAAATGCTGAGTACCCATTTTGTTCGAATTACATTAAGACGACGAAATATAATATAATTTCGTTTCTTCCCACTGCTTTGTTAATCCAGTTCTTAAGAGTGGCAAATATTTACTTCCTAATTATCATGATTTTGCAGTCAATTCCAGCGATTTCGCCCTTGAATCCCATAACGGCTGTTCTGCCACTTCTGTTCGTGCTCATGGTTTCCATAATTAGAGAGGGAATCGAAGATTACAGGCGGTATCGCTCAGACCGCACAATTAACATGACTAAATTCAAATAAATATATCGATAAAGAAGATTTCGAAGAAATCCAGTCAAAGAATATCAAAGTTGGAGACATCTTACTCGTCGAGGATGGGGAAACCTTCCCTGCTGACATGGTCTTACTCAAAGCAAGCAATGGACTCAATGCATTTATCCAAACCTCAAGTTTAGATGGAGAGAAATAATTACAAAAAGAGAACTCTCCCGAAGGATTTCGAGACATATGCCAACCCTCTGGATGAGAAAAGCTTTAAATTTATTGGGAAAGCAGTGATAGAGTCACCTACTAGAAATTTATATTCCTTTAATGGCAAAATTGCCATTTCGAATGATCAATTCGCACTAAAAACCAACCAACTGTTACTTAAGGGTTCTAACTTGAGGAATACAGAATGGATTCTTGGGCTTGTAGTCTACACTGGGAAGGATACAAAGCTCATGCTTAACAGTCAGAAGTCAAGGACTAAGCAAAGTCATGTTGAAAAGAAGCTCAACATTGTGATTTTTTTCATCCTAATCATCCAAATCTGAACATGTCTACTCCTTGCAATCATCATGTCAATATATGACTCAGTAGATGACGACAACCAGGACTATTATCTTGGAGATAACAATTCAGATGAGAAGGCATATCTAAACTTCTTTTCATACTTCCTCCTACTGAATACAATGATACCAATCTCCCTTATTGTGACAATAGAAATCATAAAAGTTCTACAGTGTATTTACATCGTATGGGACAGTGAAATGTTCTCTGAAGATGACGATGCAGGATGCCATGTCTCTTCAACCACAATCAATGAGGAGCTGGGCCAAGTCAAGTATGTTTTTTCAGATAAAACGGGAACTCTCACTCAAAACATCATGGAATTCCGAGCTCTTGCTATTGAAGATGAGATGTATGGCAGTATTGACGACCATATCAGACGAAAGGCATCCAAACTTGAGCAAAAACTAGAGATGGAGTATTCCTTCAAATCTCCAAAGTTAGACAGCCTGCTTGAGCTCAGAGGAAGAAGTAAAGGTAGCACAACCGTTATCACCTCGAAATCAGGAAGAAATGAAATCACTCTAGACGGTGACAAAGAGAAAGCAATTGAAAGTATAAAATTACTCTCAATATGCCATGAATGCATGCCTGAAGTTGCAGAACTTGATGGAGAAAAAGTCATCTTCTACCAGGGTCCCTCTCCTGATGAATCCACACTAGTAGACTTTGCACAAAGACAAGGTCATGAATTCTGGGAAGTTACAGAAGGAAGTTGTACAATTAAATACCATCCAGAAAGTGGCGTCACAAATGAAGGATCTAAGATCGTGACGTACGATATCCACAAAAGAATGGAATTCACAAGCTCCCGTAAAAGAATGGGAGTGTTTTTCACTGATGCCCTCGACGGGAAGCACAAGATTTACATCAAAGGAGCTGACTCTGAGATCAAACTCAGGCTGGACAAGTCCCAGATAAATGACAAACACTTAGAATTCATAGACGACTTCCTTGCAAGATCTTCAGTAAAAGGCCTCAGGACACTTCTTTACGGAATCCGGGTCCTAGATGAGGAAGAATTTCAAGAATTCCAATTAGACATCGCTCAAGCTGAAGATGACGTCCTCAACTCCGAAAGATTACTTGAGAAGGTCTATGAAAAATGGGAACAAGAGATAGTACTCCTAGGAGGAACCGCCGTTGAAGATCGGTTACAAGACGACGTTCCTCAAACTTTGGAAGATCTCCGATCAGCAGGAATCAAAGTTTGGATGCTCACCGGTGATAAAATGGAAACAGCTAAAAATATCGGTTTTTCATGCAGGCTCCTCACTGAAGATATGGTGATTACTGAAGTAAAAGGGAAGCAAAAAGCTAAAAATATTTTCACATACAGTTTTTACGAAGACAACAAAAGCATGATGGAGGATTTAAAATAAAAGAGCTATTGTGATCGACCATGAAGCGCTTGGGTTCTTAACAACTAATCCTGATTATTTAAAATATTTCATCACGATCTCTAAAACATGAGATGCAGTAATTTGTAGCAGAGTATCTCCAGCTCAGAAGGCAGAGGTAGTTAGGATGATTAAGAAAGATGATCCTACCAATATCACACTTTCAATAGGAGATGGGGCCAATGATGTTTCAATGATTTTAGAAGCTGACATCGGGATCGGTATTTACGGAAAAGAAGGAATGCGAGCAGCTCAAGCCTCAGATTTCGCTATTCATAAATTTAAATACCTCTGGAACCTAACTCTATACCACGGAAGGTACAACTACATCAGGATATCAGAGCTTATACTGTACTTCTTCTACAAAAACATAATCTTTACGATTCCTCAGCTGTATTTTGCTTTCATTTCCAATTATTCTGCTCAGACTTATTTTGACGACTACTATATTTCCTTCTACAACCTCTTCTTCACTGCGCTCCCGATCGGAGCAAGGAGCTTATGGGAGAAGGACATTGATTTCAAAATCTACAGTGATGAAGAGCAAAGAAAGGAGGTAAAGAACTTATTCCCGTCTCTTTACTACGTCGGTCAGCGTTCCCTAATATTTACCAAACTAAACTACCTAATTTGGACTGGTTCAGGGATCTTCCAAGCCTTGGCTATCTTCCTGGTGCATTATTTTACCTTCCACAATGCTATTATTACTGAAGATGGGTACAATGGAGGGCATTGGATGACCAGCATCTCCTCGTTCACTTCAATAATAATAATCGTTAACTTGCGAATCTTGCTTACGCACAGGTGGATAAACGCATTCAGCATGCTCTGAATATTCATTTTCAGTATAACCCTCTTCTACGCATATACTTGGATGTCAGACTCAATCCAGTTCAGCTACACCTACCAGACAAGTGTGATGCTGCACACATCTCCTTTGTTCTACCTCACAGTACTAATCTGCGTTGGGTTTACCTTCTCAATAGACTTGTTTATTGAAACAGTGAAGGTGAATCTACTTGGAAGACCCTCAGCCTTCATTAGAAAAGAAATTAACACTAAAGGGTACATTAGCCCAGAGGCTAGGCAAGTTTTGGACCGCTTGGTTGACCAGAATGACAGGAAGATGGCTCGCAAGGATATTGAACGAGAAGAATATCTAAGAGAAAGACGTATGCGCAAGATGGAGAAGCAGCAAAGAAAAATTGATAGAAAGCATAATTAATAATATTCAATTGAGCTACAGGATAATGGGGTTTTGGGGTTTTGGGGTTTTGGGGTTTTGGGG